CGCACTGCGGGTCTTCGGGCTCCGAAACTATACGCAAAACGGGACAACTCAACAAACGGCGAAAAATAAAGCCCTATTAATGACCTCTAAGTGTGCCATTAGTTAGATCTCGAGATTTGAGGAATTTTGGAAGTTGAACGGAGTCAAACGGATTTACGGTTGGGAAGATATTGAATTTCTAAGATTATTGGATTTTTGGTCTAAAGGAAAAAGGATTTAATTAAATCCTTTTTGGAAAAGAAAAGAAAAGAAAAGAGGGAGGGAAATTAGACTTTCCTCGGGCGGCTAGGGCGCGGCCCGAGAGAAATGGAGCGGTTCGGCCGAGCTAAATGGGCCGGCCGGCCCAAGGCGGCCCAAGGCACGCGCGCGCGGGAGGGGAGGAGAGAGAGAGCCGGTGGACCGGGCTCACCACGCGTGGTCCCGAGTGGGACCCGCTTGTCGGTGACACGGTTCACCGTGCGGAGCGAGCACGCGGCACACGCGCGCGGGCGGGGGAGGGACGCGGTGCACGCGCGCGGTTCGCGGTGGATGCGGATGCGGCGGGCCCACGCGCAGCCTCACGGCTCGCGGTGGAACGCTTGGCCGAGCTGGCGCCGACGTGGCGCCTACGTGGCTGCCACGCGGGCCGGCGGGAGGTAGACGACGACGCCGGCCGGAATGGACGGCGGACGACAGCGGCGAGCGGCGGAGCGAACCACGGCGATACAGGCGAAAGCGAGCACACCGGGTGGTTGCACAGGACGAGGGGAGACGAGCCAACGGCTCGGATTCGCCGGAGGGAGCTTGACGGCGGCGAATTGCGGCGGCGGCAACCGGCGGCGGGAGAAGGGGAAAACGGCGACGAGGTCACGAGGGGCCGATTCCCGGTGGCGAGAGCATCTACGCGGCTACGGGAATCCAATGCTAGCGTTGGATTAGGAGGAAACGCATCGAGGGAGGCCGGCGACGAGAGGCGCTTCCGAGCTCGGGCGGCGACGGCGGCGGGCACATGGCGAGCGGCGGCAACGGTCGGGGCGGCGCCGGCTAGCTATGGGGAGGCTACTCGTGCTACTACCCGAGTCTAAGGGAAGGAGATGGAACGAGGAGGAAGAACGGAGGGAGGCTCTACCGAGATGAGGTGGGGCGCTGTGACGAGAGGCCGACGGCGCAGGAGTGATCTATCCGGCCTCGGGCAGGGGAAGAGGAAGGAGACGAGCGCCCGGAGTCCCCTTCCGCGTCCTCGCTCGTGCCGGCTCCTCCGACGCGCGCGACGACGAACGGCGACGGCGAAACAGAGGGGTGGCAATAATGGAGTGGAGGCGATGGGAGGAGAAGAGAGGGAGGGCGCCCGGGGCTTTAAGGGCGGCAATGTCGGTTTGGAAACCGACTTTGGGCGGTCAAGGCGCGAGCTGGCGCTCGGCGCTCGTGGCCAAATCGGCGACAGGACGGAGGGAGGATGATGCCGGCGGGAGGAAAAGGGGAAAAGGAGGGAGAGAAAGGGGCTTGCCTCCTTGCCGCTTTGGAAAAAGGAGGAGGGGAGCGGGGGCGTCGCGGCAGAGGGAGGAGGGGCTCTGCCTCCGTCCCTTGGCGGCTTGCACGCGGAGTGGCGGGGCCGAGGCGATGACAACGGCGATGACGGCGGGGCGGTGTGGAGCGGAGCGGCGACACGGGCGACAGGCGTGGGCAGGCGCTGACGACGGCGACGACCAGGCGGTCGGCCACCACGGCACGCGCGCGCGGCTTGCACGGGAGACGCGGCGGATTGAGTGCCACGGCTCGGGCACGCGCGCTGGCTGCGGGGCCGAGCGGCGGCGCGGCTGCAGGCGGCAGGGCAGCGGGACCGGGTGACGCGGACGGCGCAGACAGCGCGGCACGGGCGGCAACCACGCGGGCGCGCGCGCGCGAACGACGCGCGGGGAGCGGCAGCGAGGGAGCGGAGAGGAGGGCTCGGCTCGGCGCGGGCGGCTCACGCGCACGCGCGTGGGCAGAGCGGAGGGGGAGGGGCGCTCGGCGCGGCTCCCGCGCACGCACGCGCAGCGCACGGGCGGAGCGGAGGGGGAGGGAGAGGAGGGAGAGAGAGCGAGAGAGAAGGGGTCGCCGGGGAGGGAGGGGGAGATGGGCCGAGAGGGATTCGGCCCATCGACCCCGGGGAGGCAAAATAGACTTTTGCGGAGGAAATTGATTTGGAAGGATTTGGATTCGGAAATGAACTCGACGATAGATCGGGGATTGAGATCTTGAGATGGCACGGACACTAGACGACAAACAAAGAAACAATATCGCAATTAGGGTTTTTAAGAGATAATTTTCCCGCAAGGCGCCACGACGGAACGGGCGCTACAAGTGCATATTTTCTCTTTGAAAATAAAAAAGAAGTGAACACAAACTGAGTTTTAATGTGTTATTTATCCCTAGCTCAATCGTACTAAGCTGCTACACCGGGAAAGTATTTTTAACACTCGCATGCACCTCATGTTTCCTCCAGGGTACTTTTCAGAATTCAGATTAACTGTTTCTGAAACGACAAATTGTGATATTTCCTCTTTTTTGACACAATCATGCTGATTCTTGTGGATTCAGTATCCCCCACAGAGAAAAAGAACGACCCAGAAGTCCTTTTCTAAGAAAAGAGCATACTACTGTCAGTGAGGGAAATGCTCACCTCTATTAATTCTGTTTAGTTCGAAGCAGATCATTAGAACAGTTTACAGAGTGGTGGCCTGTCTGTTCAGATATTATTTTTCCTTCTGCATTTTGAACAGTATATTCATTCTGTAGAATTAGAACATCTCTCTGCATTTTTTAGTGTACCATCTCTTGCTTGTTACGGTTCAAGCTGTTTTCATGCTCAACATCGATCGATTCCAGACAAGGAGATGACCATTTCACAGACTCACAGTGCGTGCACCACGCAGAGCAAACACACTAAGGACATTGATCGCAAGATAATTCAATCAACCACTGCACTCGATGATATTCTTGTTTTGTGCAGGATACATCACTGCTTGTATACATGAATGTCTAATACGAACTAGGTTACTCCACTTGAACCAGAATAAGAGAAAGATCCCCATCAGAATACCAGCTAGCTCCGAGAAAGCAAGAGCTGCTTAAGAAAAATGTCTTCCAATAAGAATCCATTCAATGATTCAATCAAGATCAAAGCTGCAACCGTATGCATAGCATGATAGCATCTATACCGGATTCATCTCATAAAGAAAGAAAACTTTAGTACATGCCAAAAACTTGCGCAAGTTGCCGATCTTTTACTCCGAGAAAGAGCTAGAATATTCTGCGCTTTTTCACAATTCAGAATAGAAAATATATGATGAATAAGGAATTAAGGATACGATCACATCCAAAACGAATCGCGAGATGGAACTGTAGTGCAGCGAAAGCGCCGTATCGAATTCAGTCGGCTCTTTGGAAGAGCTAATGGCTACACTCTAATGCAACCCACAAAGAGAACATAAAAAGTGATAAAAGTGCAGCTTTAATAATGGGGATTCAAACAACATGATATATTTTGGGGACCTTTTTCGTGACATCACCTGGCTTGTTTAGATCTTTCTTCAGTGGATCTTTCATGTGTTGATATATCCTTGTGTCAAAGTAAGAAAATGAGATGCACGAATAAGGTCAGAGCACAAGTGCAATTCTGGGTAGTTAAATTTGGGAATTGTAAACCAGCCAACCCATGGCTGGAAATGGAACACGACCGGCCAAATCGAGTAGATGACAATCTACTCTTGTCCAGAGATATTCTTGTGCTGCCCCCCTTGTTCGGCGGATTCACCGCTGATTCCTGTGGCAGGGCGCCGTGAAAGCCACAGCGCAGCACATGCTCTTCAGTCCCTCTCCACCTAGACACTAGAGACACTAGACTACGACGTTACCGTCGCTTGAGTCGGCCGAATGCGCCTAAATCTGCTAGAGTATAACATGAAGCTGAACAGCTATGGGTAGATTTTGACGTTGGTAACTTTGGTATCCACTCAGTTCTTCTTCGAGCAGGATCAAAGAGAGCCGTGAACCTGAACGGCATGGGGCTAGCCATTAGCCAATGTTGGAAGGAGAGGCGCCGGCGGGGGCACGTGCAGCGGCGCGGTGTCGCTGAAACCAGCGGCCCACGGCGACGCAGCGCAGGCGGCGCGGGGCGGTGGTCTGGCTGGACGCTGGTGGGTGGGTGGGGTGGGGTGGTGGTGGCTTGGCTTGCAGCTCCGTTGGTTCGGGCGCGCAAGCGCAAACCCCTTGCGCGTTCGAAAGGCCACCCGCCTCTTGCAGTTTTGCTCCTTTTTTCTCTCCCGCGACTCGGCAGCCGATACAAAAGCTGCGATGCGGCAGCCGGCCTAGCCAAGCCGCGGCGTCTGTGGGTGCTTCGCAGAGAGCGATTCAGATGATCAGATCTGTGGGTGGAAGCAGAGAGCGAGAACTAGGCTACTCCCTCCATCCCATAATATATTAACATTTTACACTGTTTAACCACTCGTCTTATTAAAAAAAATTTGTACAAATATAAAAAACAAAAAGTTATGCTTAAAGTATTTTAGATAATAAAGTAAATCAATAAATAAATAAATAATAACTCTAAATTTTTTTTGAACAAAACGAATGATCAAACAGTAAAAATAAAATGTAACAAAATATTAATCCCTTATATTATGGGACATAGGGAGTATGTTTTATGCACTGTGACAAAGATAGTGGCTTGGCCGGTAGTAATAGATATTTTCATGCACTGTGAACGTGGTAACAGGGTTTACAGGCAGCGACCAACATTTTCACTGCGAGAGTTCAAAAAACTGTTCTTTTCAGTAAAAGAGAAAAAAAGAAATGAAGGTATTGGGTTTGAAATTTAAGCGATGAAACGGCAATTGCGTATCCTGGAAAATTTTAAATCAGTAAAAACAATAAGAAGGCTTGGGGGTGTAATATACTGTACTTTTAGCCCTGCGTAAGATCAATGAGATATATAAGTTAACTATTTCTGTTAGGTAGCAGATGTGTGACAAACTGGCTTGTGTTGCTGAAATCAGCCCAGTACAGCTTGTCTTCCCAGTTCCCAAAATCCAATCCAATATATGCAACCAAACAAGCTTATTTGATGTTCATTTCTCAATTCTCACGTTACATATGTATAATCAATTACTTGACTGCTTTAAACCTATACATGAGAATTCTGGACTATGCACATTTCGAGCCCTCGAAACCCTATGTCAGCTGATTACCTTCAAAACTTTGCGCCCTATGTTGGAGATCAGTAATACCTCCACTCCCATTTGGGGTATAATGGCACGAAAAGGAAACAACTGTATACATCAAATATACAAGCTATCTAGGGATCTCATGAAAACCACTGATTTCATCAAGGAGCAAGTACAAGAACTTTAATGGTGCCCTGACTGTTAGCAGTTAACATGGTAGGGCTATCGCTCTTCCAGCAGACTGCGCTAATAAAATAAGAGCCAGGATCATCATCTGCATCATCGAGATCAGATGATACAAATCTGTGGTTGGCAGCAGGTTTTGAGATAGCCTGCAATTGGTACAGAGTTACTTGAAGTTAGAATGGTATATGGTGCCACAGGAGACCAACCTGTACAGTTAAGCATGGCACATAATGCTGAATCACAGATACGGAAACAAGAGCAGGCAATAAGCTTGCAATTACCTTGTGGTAAACAAAAACCTCATTCGTTTCACTCCCGCAGGCAATGTACTCGTTATTTACAGACAGCCCAACAAAGTTCTTTTCATTCTTGTGCCCTCTGAATGTCCTTACCTGAAAAAGGTAACCATTTTAAACAAAAGGTCAACAATCTGTTTTCTGAGAAGCCTAGCATGACGTAACTACTAAACCAAGCCAGACTAATAGATGAGCTAAAAAAGAAACAAAGGTGAAAACAAATGCTTATCCAAGAATTTCGGACCTAACCAAAGGTTTTTCAAGGACCAGAATTCTTCGAAAAAAAAGCGAAGCTTCTCAAATAGTTTTTTCCCAGGAAATAAAGAAACACTATAGCTCCAATTTTTATCGATATGAAATAGAGTATATCCTAAAACATCACTTTTTACTAATAAGTCATAGCTGCTTAAAAGGCAAAAACATAATTTCATAATTGCAGTGCAAGAAAAATCTCAATGACACATACAGGGCAATTTTCTTTGACATCCCATAACCGTAATGTGCTATCAGTTGATGCAGACGCAAGCTCATTGGTGGACAGGAACTTCACATAAGAAACAGCTTTCTTGTGCCCACCAAAAACATGGACAGGCGCACTTGGATTTCGCAAATCAAAATAATGAATATGGTGATCAGCAGAACCCACCTGCAATAATGTAACATCTGGTAAGGAAAAAAAAACTTATATTTGATATGAGCCAAGAAAATCAAAGGAACATACTGCAACATAGTGGCTCGACCCAGGATTATATTTGACAGAGCAAATATTGGCCTTCATATCAATATTGATGGCACTTGCTTCTTGCTTTGTGCACCACACTTTGACCTAGCACAAACAGCAGTAGGTTCCATAAGGTATACTGCAATACAGATACTTCCATCTATGCATTCAATGAGGTTGGGATAGCCTAGGTAGAAAAATGCACCATTATAGAAAAAGGGACATGAAAAACTGATAAATAAAATAAAATCCTAGTATGTTGCATAACATGCGATATATCCAAGTTATGTTTTACTGTATTTTGAGAACTACGCAAAGTTTTCTTGCTTTCGGGAATAACAAAAGTAGTTGTACCATTGAAATTTGCAAATACCTTGCAATCATCACTCCCAGATACTAGCATCGAGGGTTCTGTTCGAGAAAAATCAACACTCCATGCTCTCTTTTCATGTTCTTCATACTCCATCACACTCTAAAGAAGATTGAATACATAAATATCATGAATCCAAGTTCAGAAAATAACACAAGTGTGCAAAATGAACTGTGGAACAGAGCAAGAAATACCTGGCGGGTTTGGACATCCCAAACAGTTACTATACCCTCATAGTCGCTGCTTGCTATAACATTTTTTGAGTACTTGTTCCAGCTAAGGCAGCTGAGTTTAGATCTAGTAGCCATTTCAACAACTGGACAATGCACATCTGATGGTTCATTAACAACCTACGACATAAGATAGGCCAAATTTGAGTATTTTCAAATACTATACAGGCATATAGCTATGGCCAACATAAGATTCCTGAAAAAAAACTTACTGTAGAAAACTCGAAGACTTTGATGCGCTTTGAGACTCCAGCAGTAGCAAATAGCTCATCATCACGGTCAAATTCGATACTGCATTTAAGAAATATCAATGTGATTCCCTATTCTCATGTAAGGTAGGCGACTGAAAAACATATGAGATTACAGATAGACATGGAAATGAAAATTATGCACCAAAAAAACAGGCACAAACTTATAGTCATATTTTGTTCCTTATAATACATGATAAACATCAGCATTCAAGATTAGTGGATTTGTTTGCTAATTGAACATAGTTGAAGTTTGACTCATAGGAGCAATAGACCATCCCCCCTCCAACCAAAACCTCTCCTCAGCTCACTGCTGGCTTGAGGATTCAGCTATGACAACATCCACATTGCCAATAGCATGTTGATGCACATGAAATAAGGCACATATTTTGTAAAAGCACTAACCTTGATACGATATTTGCAGAGTGAAACAGATCTCCATGTCTTAGCTCCGCAATTACACGCAAGCGACTGAAGCATAAATGACAGAGAACAAAAGAATGATAAGCCAAATGAATAGGCATAACCACTACCATGATCATAATGTGCTAAAAAGGACAAATAATCAGCGGACCTATATCGTGTGAATGTTGTTAGCACAGACTGGAAATCCTCAAGTCCTGCATGATAACCTTCTTTATTTATTGTTACTATGTCTCTTTCCTCCAGCCTACGTGATTGTGCTCCGGTACGCCGTCTTTGAAGATAGTATTCTTGAAGCTCGTTAAACTGCAATATGCCCCATAGCACATTAGCATTTCATCTTACATCAAAACAAAATAAACATATAAGTTCCTAATCTAAGCTGTCTACATGCTTGCAATATGATAGTACCAAACTATCAAGCGCGCAATGGGAGAAACAAACCTGAGCTTGAACTCGCCTCTTCCGAGCAATAACGTTGCCTGATTGAATAGGGGCACTAGGAGGATCCGAGCAAGTGAGAACATCTCTCCTTTGAAATCCTTGATGACTAATTTGACCTTTCAAGTCAAGCTTCTTATTCTGTAAACCCCCTGGATTTGATGTACTAAGTGGTCCCCGAGAGTTGGGAGGAAAGAGACCACTAGGTTTATCCATAGGTGAGGGCCACATCTTTGATGCAGCAGGTTCATCCAAAAGCATGCGGAGCTTCATTGAGTACCTTTCTTTTGTTCGATATAATTCTAACCTATGTCTCTCCACAGCACTTATATCTTCTTTGATGTACTGTAGGTCAGTTTGAATCTGTGTAAAAAAGAGGTTAACATGATTAACAACAATAGACATCAGTAAAAGATTATTTATTGTTGTAGGTAGCAAGAAAAAAAACCTGCATACTGAAAAATACATATAGACAAACCTCATTCAGCTCTTCCAACTTTTGCTTTCTGAGGCAATGCAAGAAGACCAGCAATATTTGCATATTTGTTTCTGACTCTTGCTGTTCCATATGCCGCTTCTTCTCCGCGATCAAAGTCATAAGACTATCTAGTTCTTTAACCGCCATATCGTTTCCCTAGAAAAAGAAAGAAGAATTAAACTAAAACATATGATAGTGTTTGGTCATCATTCATCTATTACTTATTTAGAGAACGTCAGTTTTATGTTTGAATTTTGAAACAGATATAAAGTCAGCAAGGTAGTGCAAATCTATCTTCTGTGGTATACTTGGTTTATCATATGGACAATCCTTGTAACAGTTAAGAGGACGATAGAGATCATGTGGCTGTAAGAGCGAAGGAACAAAAGATACTTTGATATCGGTCACAGTAGCTTAGATTCTACAATTGATGCAAGAGATAAGCATGTTCAGTGTAGAACTTAATTACTACTCTGTACTACTTAGTTCTGAACTGAAGATCACAAGCACAGCTAAGGTACGGAAGCAAAATTTTCACAGTACATAAAACCATTTAGGAACATACCACTATGTTTAAGGAGCTATTGAAAGTAGACATTTTCAAAAGTAAAACATGTGAAGTGACTGACCTGTTGCAGTGCATATCGAAATTGGTCTATCGGTGATGCTGTCTTCGCAATTTGGCGAGCTGACATTTTCTTCAAGACCTATGCAGACATAAATGTGATAAACATGCTTAGAGATACATTTATACAATCCCAGTATCAAGTAACCAGTAATTACAGCTTGTTTTAAGTTTTAACAGAACTAGAGAAGAACTCTAGTGATGAACAAATTATATAATAGGTACTGATAACCAGAGCAGACATAGAACTAATACTGTCCACTGCTGGTGATTCTAAACAAAACTTACATTAACAACAAACTGTAATGTACCGTGCAAGTCAAATAAAACTGAGCTATCCAATCAGAACACCTGCTACTACTTCAGAAGCTACCACAAACAGTAGTACAATAAATCGCAGCTCAAGCGCTGAATACTGTTGAATAGTTGCTACAAACGAATCGAAAGGCATACTGTTGAATAGTTGCTACATTTGTTAAAATTGGTTATACCGGATACCTATCCCAAGCCACATCCAAAGGTACATTCAGTGACATTTCAATTTTTTTTTTTTGCGGGGCAGTGACATTTCAATTACAAAGCCCTGCGTTTGAAATTAGGATAGGCATCCAAAATTCCCAATCGATCGGCGGAATATGGAAGCCACGGCCAATCCATTATCCATCTCGGCTGTGTAAGCAGAACGAGCAAGCAAACCTTGTCGAGGAGGAAGTTGGGGTAGAGCTGCGCCTTGGTGAGGTAGTTGCCGCAGCAGGGGCAGTCGCTCTTGTGGCTGAGATGCGTGACGATGCACATGTAGCAGAAGCTGTGGCCGCAGGCGGTGAGGAAGGCGTCCTTGATGACCGCCATGCAGATCGGGCAGAGGAGGTCCCTGTCGGCCGCGGCCTCCCCGTTGCCCCCCGCGGAGGCGCGCGCCCCCGCATCCTCCTCCCCCTCCCCCGCCACCGCCAACGCCGCCGTGGACGCGTCCCCCGACGGCGCCTGCTCCTGCTTCGGCACCGATGGCACCAGCGCGCCGGCCACCGTCGAGTCACCCATGCGGCAGGAGGAGGCCGCCCTGCGGTGGTGAGTCGAGCAGGCGGCGGCGGTGGAGGCGGCGACTGGGCGTGAATAATTGCATACGAGGGGTGGGTGGTGGTGGTGGTGGTGTGGTGTGTGTGGGAGGGAGGGGCGGGTGGAGGAGGAGGGAGGGGAATTGGGTTCTGTGTGTGGGCGTGGAAGCGGAAGGGTGTATGGGTGGGAGGAGACCACGTCGGGGTCGGGGTAGCCTCGCGCGCCGCGGCGCTGCGGGCAAATGTGCGTACGCGAGGAGGCACGCACACGACGACGGCAAACTCCGTCTCCGTTCCTCTCGAAGGAAAAAACGAAGTTTGCCGGTCTCCCAATGGAACGCGTGCTTTCGATTTGCGCATTTAATCCGAGTAGTTTGGTTTGCTTAATCCGTGCGAGGAATTTGGCAGGTCGGGACGGACGCGTCGCGAAGCGACCGGGGGAGTGGTTAGAGTCCCAATTGTCCTCATAAATGAAAACCAAAAATTAAAATTTCAAACTTGAGAATTTTAGGTCGCTAAAACATCTCTGTAAATTACTACTACCTTCATATTTTAATATATGACGCTGTTGACTTTTTATCTAACGTTTGATCATTCGTCTTATTCACAAAGTTTATGTAATTATCGTTTATTTTATTGTGACTTGATCCATCATCAAATGTTTTTTAAGCATGACATAAATATTTTCACATTATCACAAAAAATTTGAATAAAACGAATAGTCAAATATTGATAAAAAAAGTCAACGGCACCATACATTAAAATACAATACGGAGGGAGTACTTTAATTTAGGTAACCGATGAGTAACCTTAGTTTCAGACGTGCTGGGTCCGGTTGTTATGTGGGTTACAAAACAGCGCTGCATTGAACAAGTGGGTGTGGTGAAATGGATGTTCTGTTAGAAAATTCTTGTAAGAGAAGATCATGCGTGTTTCTGGGATCATTCTCCGTGTAAAAAATGCATCATCTCCATGGCCAAATTGGCCACTGGATGCTATCACTGACCCGGTGCGTGAGCCCGTGGCCACCACACGAATTCTGTACGGCTGTACCGTATTACAGGCAAGGGTTTATATTTCCAATCGAGGTCCCGCTCCTGACCCTGTCAGTATAACGGTTTTCACGAAAACCGTCAAATTTCAAACAAAATTAAGAAGCCAAATTCTCAAGTTCCATTTGCCCGTCAATGAAAAATGATCAAAATCACCGAATTCCAACCGGAACTACCAGGATTTCAGTTGATTCGAACAGGAAACCACCGTTCCAGTGTTTTGGAAACCAAACAAAAGCATCTAAAACTCATTGGATTTGCTGAAAAGCCAAAGAGTAGCGTGGGAATTAATTGTGTTTTCTGAATATTTGGATAATAGGGGAAAATGTTTGAAATATGAGAAAATTCATGGAGATGATAGGAACATTGCAAACTAAAAGGATATCAAAATGGGGAAACCGTGGAAACGTGGGAAAATGTAAGAAATTAATAAAGAAATTCAGCATGACCTTTCCTACAATTTGACAACCTCACATTGAGAATAAGCGCAATGTATATTCATGAACACAAATACAAGATAATTTGAAGTCCATATCATTGACAATTAAATATGCATAACCAAATATATGTTACGCCATTAACATCAACACGCATAATATAAAGTACATCAACACAATACAAAGTACACCCACAATCAATACATACTGTAAAGTGCATAAACAACATAGTATAACAACAATACAAAGTCCATAATATAAAGTGCATACACAATCAACACATATTGTAAACCCTTCTAGATGTCTTTTTTCAATTTACCAATTCAGTTGTTGTCCAAAGAGCATTTTCATTCTACGCCTATATTTTTTGACATTTCATATGCATGTATTTACTACAAATGTAGGACTATTTACAAGTTATTTTTAAAATATTCTTCATAAATTTTCAATTCAAATTTGAAAAATTCTGAAACGATTCAAAAATTCCAACAGAATTTGCTTTCGCGCTGCGTTGAAACGTCAGAGTTGTGAAGTGTGAACCCTAATCTATCTGATCAAAGCCTTCTTTTTTTTTGGATTGATTTCATCCAGGAGAGATGTCAGCTAGACAGAGACGATCACTGATCACGCGACAAGTTGCCATATCAGAGACCTCAGGCTAGGGCAACACACTGCCAGCACTAACCCATACTTAACGAGGACTGGGGTTCAGTTTATAAAGGAGTCAAGAGTTCAGGACTGATTCGATGACCGATTTCAGTCTTGCTACATTCTATCACTGTCTGGAATGATAAGACAAACCAAAAACGAAATTTCAATGTTTTATACTACATCCTATCGATCTATCTGAACTGAGAAGAGACGCTGACTGAATTGCCTAGACAAGAACATAGAACATCCAACTCCATCACTAAGAAGCAAAATTTTGCAGGTAATGCCTGTTCACGATATAGTTTGCAGGTAATGACCAGGTACACTTTCTTATGCCATGGTAAGGAACGCCGAGCTACTACTGTTCACTTCAGTTCAGCTCACCTAGTCACTCGACCAGCTCAGCGAGCACCTTGGTCACCTCCTTGGTCAGGTCGCCACGGCGCAGCACCACCGAAATCTCGGCAATCCTCTGCTTCTTGATCTTCATGTCCAGCGCATGCGCCTTGTCGTCATCGAGCTTCCCGAAGTCCCTCTTGAACAAGCCAGGGTGTGCCGCCTCCAGCAACTTGACCTCCTCAGCGAGGTGCGGGTACAGCTCGCACATCTCGCCGAACTCCCTCGGCGCGGTGGTGGTGCCGTTCACCGCCGCCGCTGCCGCCTCGCTGCCCCAGACGCTCTTGGAGAGGTCATAGAGCCGGCGGTCATGGCCCTTGCTTGGGAGATCGCCCTTCTTCTTAGCGGTGGATTCGTAACGGCGCTTGAGAGTGCTGACCTTCCCCTGGAGCTCCTTGCGGCCGTAGCCAGTGTTGTCGAGGCTGCCGGCGAGGGTGGCGATGAGCGCGTCGGTCTGTGGCAGCGACCCGTGCTCCCGGCGGTGCGCCGCGAGCGCCTCGAGGATGCGCACCTCGTCCTCGGTCGACCAGATGCGGTGGAAGGCCTGCCTCTTGGGCGACGAGACCTTCGGGCCATTCCCCTCCGCCCCCTGCTTCGGAGCCGGATTCGGCGGCGGCGGCGGCGGCGCCTCCGCCTTCTCGGATTCGGACGACTCGTCCTCTTCCTCATCGGACGAATCATCCTCCTCGCGATTCTCCTGCGGTGGATCCCTGCTCTTGGTAGCGGAGGAGCGCACCAAGTCCTCCTCCTCCTCCTCCTCCGATTCCTCCTCCCCGGAAGAATCGGACTCCGCGCCCTTGTTAGAGACCACGGGTGCGGGCTGAGCAAGGGGACTCTCCTCCTCCTCCTCCTCCGACTCGTCCGAGTCCGAGCCGGAGGCGGTTTCCTCTGAGGAGGCAACCGGAGGCGGCGGCGGCGGCGGAGTGGGGCGCTTCGGGGCCATCGCCGGAGCTAGGGTTTGGAGGGCGGAGGCAGAGGTGGGTGGCGGTCCTGGCGGCGCCGGTCTCGGGACTTCTCCGTGCGGCGTGATATTGGATTAGCTTGTAGGGCTTGTTGGGGTCTTGGGGGTTACATCGACCGTTGGATTTCGGTGCGTAGCCCGCATCCACCGTTCATTTTCCGATCGTCCATTTTTTGATCGTGATCGGATGGCTTATTGGGCTAAAGATTTTATGGGCCGGCATTTTAGTTCAAAATCGAGGCCTACACATGTACGTGGGCCGGGATTAAAGCCCATCTAAACATGGTCTGAGCTGGGAGTGTGTGGACCAGGGTTTACAATTCCGACAGACGCTTCCGTTTCGGGCACCGGTGGAATTCGGAATTTCGCGAAATCCGGTGGAAAACTGGTAAATTCCGAACAAATTTCATAAACCAAAATTTGAATACAAATTCCCTGAGTTTGCCGACAAGTTCTTGAAAACCGATCGGTTTTGGTGAAATTCCGATCGAAATCATCAAAATTTCGATAAGTAATCCGGCCCATCTAAGTGTTTTCCTTTTTTAATTCTTTATTCTTTTCTTTCCTGATGTAAGTTTCAGTAAATACACACAATATATCATTTTTTTTCAAAAAAATTATATCCCAATAGGTTCTATGAATATCATATTATTTATAAGATTTTATTTGATTTTTTCCTTTTTTATCAATTCAAATTTAAATTTGGATGAAACTCTTCGAAATCTCAGACGGTTTCTACTTTTGAGCCTCATCGAAACGTCACAATTTCGCGAAATCCGACAGGATTTCATCGGAATCGTAAACCCTGGCGTGGACGATCGCGGGATCCGACGGGAGAACGCGCGAACCAGACAGGTGGCCGTTGGGCCTATTCTCTGTTCAGGCTTTGATCCAAATAATCTGCAAATTTGAATCTGAATTGTTTGTCGCCCTATCGACTTGAACTCCATGAAGATCTTATCTTGAAGTCTGAGGATGCAGTCCAATGATGCCCTTCACTTCATGTTTTTATTCCTTCTTGTTAAGATTTCCCCAGGATTCATCTGGACTCGATGGATAATTTTTCCTTTTTTCTCCTCCTAAATTTGATGCTCCTTTTGGCTAGGGCTCAGAAGTCAGGACACAGGAGACTGGGGTAGCGAGTATTCAGTGCAATCCATCCTGTTAACAGGTAATTTTTGCACCAAAAGAAGATCTTTTGTTGTTGCACATAAGCACATTCCTGTCAGATTTCAAAACGAGTACAAGATCCTAAATTTCAGCATCTAGGAAGTAATATGTTAGCGATGCAGTAATTTCACGTATCCAGCTTCCAAATTTTGTCAGAATCTGCGAGACTGCGACTACTGTATCTCTGCAGTACAAAAAAAAAAGAGGAAGGCCTTGTATTTTGATGGATACTTTTATGAGGATAATGATGGTTCTAACATTATTCTCTGATGAATTGTTTCAATAGCAACATTACAATATGTTGCTAGGTAGACAGCATGGTTACAGATCGGGACCGGATATGAAAAAACATTCGGTTCGGTTAACACTGTGAGGCCGTCAGGTGCATCAAGCTGGATGTGTCAAACAGCTCCATGAATCTCTGATCAGTACTTCTCGCCTTCGCCGCTGCAAAATGCTGGTACTCGTCGAAAACTGAAGTTAGGCACCATTTCTGCAACTTTCTCAGGCACCCAACGACGCAGCCAGTCCGGTGCTGAAACATGTGGAATATCAGGAAACCGTCGAATTCCCATGTAGCAAAAGGTTTCAAGAAAATGGGATATCAGGGATGTGCAATGCTAAATAGATATAGCTACCTTGCCTCTCTTGCAGTGGATGAGCACCGGTTGATTCCTTACGTCTGAATTGATCAAAACGATAAGAGTTAGATACAGATAGTGTGATGAAATTTTGAGACATTGGATATATCTTTGTAGAGGCAGATACCAAGAATAACTTTGAGTGCTTCTCGGATTTTTTCTTCAGGGATGTTTACAAGCAGCTCCTGTAACAGCAAGGTTCAGATTATTGTCAGGCTATGCATCAACTTTAAGAGTCAACAGGATTGAAGAGAATGGTCAGTTGGATGCATACTGAATTACTGATGATATGGTATAGCAATAGAAGGATGTTTTAATTTGTTTCACAGTTTCAGGCTAATGCGGTAACTGATAAGGTTCACCTTTATCGAAAGTTCAGATGCAAAGATATCGTCATGCCACTCAAGTATGTACTACATTATTGGTTCTAGTTAACAAAGAAACAAGCTTAGACCCTGTTTAGATGGGACTAAAACTTTTTAGTCCATATCACATCGTATGTTTGGACACTAATTATAAATATTAAACATAGACTATTAATAAAACCTATTATATGACCCCGGACTAATTCGCGAGACGAATCTATTAAACCTAATTAATTCATAATTAGCCTATGTGATGCTACAGTAAACATGCGCTAATTATGGATTAATTAGGCTTAAAAATTTTGTCACGCGAATTAGCTCTCATTTATGTAATTAGTTTTATAAGTAGTCTATGTTTAATACTCTAAATTCATCCGATATGACAGGAGCTAAAGTTTAGTCCTTGATCCAAACACCACCGTACAATCCATCTAGCAGTGACCATCCTAGAATCCATCTAGCAGTGACACAATTATTACCGGTGACCCTCGTAATTCAGTGGTTTCAGACACCTAGCTTGAGTCCGGCGAAAAAGAAGCATCATCTCCAGACAATGTCAAAGTGAGCACTAATTTCCATTCACACACTTGTAGTAAGGTCAGCCACCTGATCAGTGTCTTTTCACTCAGCGATATATTTCTTTTTTGCTGGGAATGCTAAAGTTGGTCAGCACATCTGTGTTGTTTATCATCGACAGCAACAATCGCCAATGAACGATGAAAGTTTTTTTTTGTTTGAAGGTCCCAACTTAACTCACTCGATTTTCACATGCACATTTTTTTAATTACTGAACGGTGTTTTTTTTAACAAAAATCTATATGAAATCTATATGAAAGTTAATTTAAATTTTATATTCATATTAATTTTATTTTTTTAAAAAAACTAAAACTTAATTAATCATACGTTAATGAGTTATGTCATTTTGCATGAACTAGGGATGAATACCTAACCCAAGCAACGACCTCAGCCTTAAGTCGCCGACGCTGACCAACTTTGACCATTTGCCGTGGCAGTTCATGCCTTCATGAACCCAGAACTGACAGTGGAATATGTTCTCATTGTTGCAGACTTGCGGTGGATGCTACCACGCGATGACACGAGTACTAAAGTTGCGAGATGGAGTAATATACCGACATACTCCAAGGCTACTATGCGTCTATGCCTAAATGAACTTTTAATATGGACAGCTTGACAAAACCGTACTAATGGCTTTCAGTGAAGGACTAGTAAAATGAGAATAAATATGGCATGGCACACAGAGAAATGGTAATCTTGGGTGGCTGGTTAATAACGGAATTAAAGTCATGGCCAACAAATTTATGAAAGAATTACGCTGGTCAGACGTCACTCGACAGTTAAAAGACAGGTGCGATTATACTATAAGTCAACTTGATCCTCTTTTTTTTTCACATAAGTTCTCTTAAAAAAAATAATGGGCATAAGTCAACTTGATCTTTGTTTAGGCACCCAATTCACAGAGGAGACTCCACAAGCCCATCATTTCTCAGCTACTCCCTCCGTCTTTCTAGATTCAAATTTAGGATTAGTTTTTTTTTTGATAGAGGGAGTAGAACTTGTGCTGTACTGCATCACTGATCACTTAAGCTTAAGGTGTTTTCTTTTTTTTTTTTTACCCTTAAAGCTTGCAGTATTCAGTAAAACTCAGAACCAGACTGGCATAATGCAGACAAAAATCTCCTAACCCTGAAATGCGTGATGCTGAAATAGAAAATATTTTCCTTAGCCATGAGTCTACCAATCAGTTTGAACTAGCTTCTAGAAAAGTAGCACAACGCTACCAGAATAATCATAACAAAGATAAGCTTTACTGTTGCTAATGGCAGTAGGCCAGTAGCAAGATACGCTTTTGCAGCATTGTAAACAACTTCTAATCTTCTATGGGTGCTGGGCTGACGCAAGAACCCGCTTAACTGACACTGTTGTTTTGCATTGTAAAAAAAATAACTCCTACCATAATGAGATTTTCTACACTATTTTGTGAGAAGGGAAAACGAATTAGTGAAATAAGAACATAAAAATAGTAGCGCACTAGATGCATTTTGCTCAAACAGGGTGTTTTATAGTCACCATGCACCACGTAACCTTGTCAATTTAGGTTAACAAAACCCAAAAACGATAAACATTTTCAGCCTGAAAGACTCAAGCAAATGCCCTAACTGAAAGGGGCAAAGATAAAGCAAGAAAGGGACTTTTGTTTGTTCTAGTTGAGTTGTTGTTTGCCCTAGTTGCGTTGCCCCCAAGTGTTTTGCCGAAGCAAGCAGCAATATCAGTTGTCAGTTCCCATGTTTTTTTAACGGAAAGTAGTCGAACGAGCTCATGGCCATACGACACGAGGCAACGCGCAGAAAACGCAAGTGCGTGCTCATGTCAAACAGGTAAACAGCGCGTTCTACCTAAAGTAACCCTCGCATCCACTGTAATGCGATACCAGTTGCTATTTCTCGGTGCAAATTATGTGTGCAAATTATTTATCTCCACAAGCAGAACGCACCAAATCGACCGAAAAACCAAAAAACAATTCGATGCGAAGATCGACTTTGCCATCCGTGGAAAATAAAGCAGAAAATCAAAGGACTCAACGCATATGATTTTTGACTTGTTCATTTACCTTGCTGCCGTCAATACCGAACTGGTGAAGCTTGATGCCGTTCTGCTCCAGAAACCGCGTGTTCTCCTCCGGGTACGGCTCCGGGCACAGGTACCTGCACCGATCAACCACGCCAAGGCGTCGCCGCCGCCGTCAGAACACGTAATCGACGAGCTCGCCGCCACGGTCGCCGTGGCCGAGAAAGAGATCCTAGGTATAGGACTCACACGATCGAGCGTAGCTTGAGGGAGAGGAGGAACGCGAAGTTGTCGGCGGCGGGGAACCCGGAGCGGAAGATGCCGTCGTTCACCTCGGCGAAGTTAAGCGGCGGCACCAGCACCGCCGCGGCGTCCACCCACGGCTCAATGCTGAAGACGGCGCCCACCGCCTCCTCGCCGGCGCGCTGCTGGTGCTCGCCTTCCTCCTCCTTCTGCTGCTGGCTCCTCTGTCTCGGCGAAATCTCCAGCTGCATATCCTCCTCTTGGGCGCGTGTTCGTCGCGTTTGTGCTTAGTAGAAACGGTGTTCGCGCGCGCTCGTGTCGTGTCGTGTGGTGGGATGAGAGACTCTCGGCGAGAGTGACGGTTACTTATAGAGGGGAGGCGGAAGTTGGGGGAGGATAAAGAGGGGCACTATGTACGTCAAGTACGTGACAGTACGCGTCCCGTTGTAAGTTGTAAATTCGTGGATGAGCGTGACCGATGTGGGTTGGCACGGCTCTGAGAGAGGAAATTTTTAGGCGAGAGTGATGCGACGATCCATTTCACCTAGTGTTGAAACACTTAGCTTGTAAATGCGCAGGTTTGGTCATGTGATAGCTCTGGCGAAGTGCGGCGTTTTATCCGTGCTCAAAGCCTAACGCCGCATGCTCTTGACCTCTTGTACAAGGACCAAGGTCACGTGAGAGTTTCATGAGACACATATATGGAAGATTTACCAATTCCTGCAAATTCAATACGCGCTCTTATGTGCAATTGTTTTCGAAACTTAGATCATATGACTTTGTGCAGTCTATAATTAAATTACTAATATACAGATTATACTTTACTATGATACATATATCAGTAGCACGATTATAAGTTACACAAAGTCAGACAAGCTGCATCTACTCTTAGAAAATTTTGTCTTCCATGAAAGGTGACTTTTGGTCTGAGCTCTCTAACCGTAAAATCCAGCAGAAATGCATAAAACCATCAGCATATTGTATTGCTGTCGTAGCATGACTCGTCTGAAGGACTGCCCAGTTCACTGGACTATGGGCCATTTCATTGTACAGTTCTTATTTTCCTAACCCGTCCTTGACCACTGATCTGCGGTTTGGTACCGACAAGAAAGCAACCCTCGTGGAGATAACACCACAAGCGGGAGCAGAGCATCAAAGAGCAGCAGCAAACATGGTCAATCAATCGATCGATCGGGTCAGGTCAATCTTCTATCTTGGTGTTCGTGGTGTGCACGCTACGAATTGCATTGTGGTTTGATCGTTCGTTGACGCTGTGAACGATTGATCGAGCCACATGCAAGTCCGCAGCCAGGTGGCTTGGTCGACGGCAGCAAGCGCCATCCTCTTTGAATCTGGAAAAGAAGTTACAGTACACATTTGGACCCAACCAGATAATCCGTATTGGATCAGAAGGTCAATGTTAGAATCTTGATCAGTTTCATTGTCGCGACAGATCTAGATCCATGTCAAGAAATTCAGACGTCCTAGAAGATTATAGGTAAGTATGGATTTTGACCAAAGTTGTCTGAGCACAGAATCCACTACAAAGTCTACAAGGCACGGTTAGTTTGTGTTTTCTTACTGTATTTACAAACACTTTTTTAAAAAAAAGGGGATTTTGAAATTCCAAAATGGCAAAAGGCAGCATTATTTACACAATACACAGGCCTTAGGGTACGCTCATTTCAGCTTATAGGATTAGATTCTCCTCGTTTTCCGTTAGCACGTTTTTCAAACTGCTAAACGGTATATTTCGTACGAAAACTTTCTATAAAGAAGTTATTTAAAAAAATCCAAGAAATTTATTCATCAAAAATTTATATATTAATACTTAATTAATTATATGTTAATCATATTTCTCGTTTTACGTACGGCTAATCAGCCTATCCTAACTACTGAAACGAGCGCACCCTTAGCCCTTAAGCTCTCGCACGACCAACGAAAACTCCCCATCTGCAAGCCTAGTCAGGATGCATTATCGCGCGCGTGGCTCTCCAGTCGCATTCCAGTATAGTGCAGCAGATCAGATCAGATAAAACCTGCATGCAACATGCAAACTATATATGCAAGGGCGCAAGGCTGCATCATCAGGCCACTAATAAACAAAGGGGAAAGGGATCCCCCCCCCCCCCCCCCCGATTCTCTGAAACCCGATTTGTCCTCCTGTCGTAGTGTTTTGCTTTTGCAATGTGTGTGGCTCTCATTTAACAGTGGATCATCCTACCTAAAACGGTGGCTGTGGATTACCGGAAAGAGAAAACAAATCAAATTTGGGTGCAATGTTCTGAACTATTTTCAGTACTTTGGAACCCTGCAGATATCATTTTCTGCACTCCAGACAATGAAGGGCACACTGTAACAGTCACTACTGCCGCTTTGCCGCAGAAGGCTTCACTAGTCATCATCGCCGTAAGCTGCAAGTGCAAGTTATCAAGTGGTTTGCTCCGTATAGACTCCAAATGCTGGTACAATTTTGGACAAAAGAACACAATTAACAAGGTTCTGAAAACTAGAAATGCATGCGGCGTTCGTTACACAAAGTCGTCGAACAGAGAAACCATGGTTCCTTTTGACGATAAAAAACACGAAGTCCCATTGCGTATGAACTCTAGCTTCTTATTGGGGGTAAAAGATACTGTATCCAACCCTGATTTATATTCAGAAACACAAAAGTTTCAGACTAACCGTGCATTTTCAGAGTATCGTTTATCCGTTTGCAACCTTTTTACTTTAATTTTAGCAAAAAAGACTTTGAGTTGGTTGTAAAGTGGTAATTGCCGGTGAATAGCATGCCGTTGCCCAATCGCTCAGCTACAGGCGATCTACAGCATGCAAAATGCCGGGCGGGCCAATGGATGGGACGCGACGTTGCTGCAGAGTTGTCTCCTTTGCGAAAGCGATTCGATATACTACTCCCAAGTGGCCGGACGGGGCAAATCGGGCGCGTTTGGGTTGGGAAAAAAATGTCACGATATGCAAAGGCTACAGAGCAAATTATGAAGGCTAGTCCATGAGAGAATATAATGATTGGTAAAAGAGATTACGAAACATACCGGGACGAAGAACATGAAATTCAATTTCCAAAAATAGACGCTCGAGCAACCAAACATTCGGACTACTCCTAATAAACTCCCAAATGAACAAGCAAATGCACTGTCAGAGTGGCCCGTCCGTTCGTTATCTTATATATTATCTGACGACTGCCACGGCATTTCCAACAAACCTCATCCTTCATCCTCCAATGGTACAGCAACCTCGGGCACTTTACAAAGGCGCACGGTGCACGCACGAAACGAACATCCTCTCCAAGATTGGCGCCGGTCAGGTACCCCTTTTCCTTTTGATTACCAAATCCATCCGCATCCAGTGTCCTGTTCGGATCGCAAAGCTGCAGGGCCCCGATCGAGATGTTTGGTTGCTTTTGCTACATATATATGGCCTTCTCCTAGCTGATAATAAAGCAACACACTTGTTCATAAATTTGTCGGTCACTTTCGGCTGATCCGGGTTTCATTTCATCACACAAAAGCTGGTGTATCGCAACTTCGCAACTCGCAAGGTTGAAAACCGAAAAGTTCATTCGATCGGCCGTGGAACAGTCGAAATAAAGCCCGTATTCACCGAGGCCCACATGGCAAAACTCTGGATGGCATTACGAAGCTGTGGGCCGTGGGCACCGCGACTCCTACGGACGCGGCCCCCGCTGCAAAACGGAATAAGTTCACTTTAGGTCTCTCTATTTGTTGACCAGTCTGATTTTCGTCCCTAACCGCAAAACCGGGTACGACCCGTCCCCCAACTTACGAAAACCGGCAAACGAGATCCCTCGACGGTTTTGATAGCGGTTTTGGCTGACGTGGCTAATTTGACTTGGTCTTCATATGACGTGGCACTGACGTGGCGCTTATGTGGCAATTTGATCCGGGTAAATAATAAAACCCGTGGGACCCACATGTCAGTTGCACACATAAAATAATATAAAAAATAGTGGGACCCACATGGGTCCCACATGTCATCCTCACTCCTCATTTCCTCCTCTTCTCTCGGCATCTTCATCTCTATCCCATTTCCTCTCTCTCTCCTCTCTCCAGCAGCGCCACCACCACGGACTCCGCCGCCGCTCCCGCCACCGCCACATCCCTTGCCGGTGATCCAGATGAGGTTCCGCGGTGTACAGGTGGATCTCGTGTACGCCGGCGTGTGCCTCCCGTGGTGCCCGACAACCTGGAGTGGACCTCAGCGCGACCGGTCGGTGCTCCGCGGCCTTGACGACCTCGCCACGGCGCGCAGCCTCACGGCATCCGCGTGGCCGACGAGATCCTGCGGCTTGTCCCGGACACCGCGGCGTTCCGCACCATGCTGCGGTGCGTGAAGCACTGGGCTAAGGCGCGGGGCGTCTACTCCAACGTCGCAGGCTTCCTCGGCGGCATCGGCTGGGCTATCCTCGTGGCGCGCGTGTGCCAGCTCTACCCCAACACCTCCCCAGCATGCTGCTCCCGCGCTTCTTCCGCGTCTTTGCGCGGTAGAAGTGGCCCAGCCCGGTGATGCTGCGCGCCATCGAGCACGACGACGGCGAGCTCGGCCTCAGACGCCACCCTGCGCGTCACCACCGAGCAGCTCGCCGTCGGCGACGACGTCTGCCAGGAGATCGTCAAGGCCGGCGCCATGTGGGTGGTGATTAGTTAAGTACTGCTTAGTCTTAATGATCGGTAACTGCATGTGTTGTAGCTTGACTAACAAATCACTGAGTCTGAGAAATAAGAGTGGAAGTGTAGCTAGTTCGCCGCAAGCTCGTGTTTGTCCCCTGAAGTATTTGCATCACTTGTGTATTCCTTCGTGCGTGTGTGACCTCGCGTGTGTTTTGTTGTTTCTCTGGGCCAAAGCTCACAGGGCTGGGTGGAGTCGCGGTTGAGGCAGCTGTCGGCCAGGGTGGAGGCGGACACGTCCGGGGTGCTGCTCTGCCACCTTCACCCGCAAGCGTACGCCACCGAGCACCACAAGGAGCCGCGGCGGCAGCGGGAGCGGGAAGCCGTCTCCGCTGCAGCCGCCTCGACGCCAAGGATCTCTGGGCGGCACGCCGGCGCTGCACGGATGGCCTTGAGGAGAGCAGCTAGCTCGCTCAGATGGCCTTGAGGTGGTCGGCAGCGGCGGCGGCGGCGATGTCCTGGCCGTCGGCGTCTCAGCGAGGGCGACGATGTTGGGGAAGTCCATGGCCACGGCGTCCTCCGTGGTGAATCAGTCCTCGTTGCGGAGGAGCTCCTTGCTGCCGGCGGCGACCATCCCCGGCGTAGGCGTGGCAGTGCACGGAGCATGCGGCGGCGTCGACGGCGAGGTCCGCCTCCTGAGCGCCGT